TATATATAGCATATCTGATAGCAGAAGTGTGACGACGTAAACGTAAAATTGTCATCATATTTTTTATAGATCGTGGGTACCCAAGTGTGACGACGAACTTGTAAACCAATCGTCACTCGAATGACGATGCAAGCATGAATTATTCGTCACTCGAATGATAGAGCGAATACTAATATATCTCTGACAACAGTGAGGCATTTCTGTTGTTACAACACTGACAACGCAAGCGTGAATCGTTCGTCACTCGAATGATAGAGCGAATACTAATATATCTCTGATAATGGTGGCGCATTTCTGTCATCACAACACTAATGATGGTGATGCATTTCTGTCATCATACCTGAGTGGGAATAACCTAGACTTATCTCTGGTGACGGTGACGCATTTCTGTCATCACAACACTGATGATGGTGACACATTTCTGTTGTCATACCTGAGTGGAAATAACCTAGACTAAGTGGAAATAACATAATTATGTTATTTCCACTATACCAAGCTCTTACCCGTTGCAACCCTCTGAAGAGTCATTTCTAATAGGAATACAAGATCATCTAACAAAACCTGTAAGATTAAATATATATTTAATATATACATATGATATAATAATTTATTAGAATGCTTGATTCATTAAATATGCACATAATTTATTTATTTTATAGATCTTTTCATGGGAGTTATTACCGGAAATTTTGAAGCCAGTTCTTCCCATGAATTATACTTACCTAATTCAAAATTTCAATAATCTTATCTTGTTTTGGACAGAGGAAAATTTTGAAGTACCCAATTTTAAACTAGATGCATTTGTCAACGTTAATAATATAGAAAAAGTACATGAATAGTTCACAAAATTCCAAGCCTGGACCAAAACAACAATGCCGGAAACAAAAAGATTTGAAATTAAAGGGAAATGTATACTTTTTAGGGAACAACGTTACTGTATCCACAGCAATAAAGTAAAAGAAAAGCAGGGCCATCATGAAGTAAAGAATCCACATTCTTCTCGGGCAAGAAATACACATTGTACTGCCACTATCCATCTTCGACTAGAGCATCAACGACTTTCACTAAGTCATTTATTGAAAATAAATATAGAATTTATACACAATCATGTTATTAATTCTGTATCATCATTAAGTTTCTAATGTGTTGATAATCAAGTCCGTGAGAAATTTATTGCCTTATTCTGGGATGGGCACTCCCCAGCTTCAGCATTACATGTTTTTGAAGATGAGCTCTATTTAAATACTACAAATGAACAGGAGCTATTGGAGATTCTAGCAGATCGAGCCTATAATCCAGGTTACGATTACATTGCTAAGTTGTTTTAGCAGTATCGAGATAATATGCTTGGAGGTCGTAATGGAAAATCGATATTTGAATGTCTAGCTGCCATAGTTTTAGAATATAACAATTCGGGTCAGGATAAAGCGGTCCTACAGAAGTACAATGCTAATTCTGGAAATGTATTTATTCTATGCATTGTTACAAATTTGATAGCTCGAATACATGAAAAGATTCCCAAGCACAAGAAATCTGTTATATGGATGCATCTGCATCCTTTGATCCTCTTAACACATCTATCACACTCTTATATACAAGCTGTACTGCTAGTGCTCTCCTACTCAGACTTCTTACTACGTCAGATGAGCAAGAAATTACAATAGAAAAAGCAGTAATAATTACTATATTTAAAGAAAAAAAAATTTATTTATATTATTTATTTATTTTATTTTATTATTTTTTTATTAATGTTTATTCTGTTTTACTTATTTAGTTAACTTTGTTAAAGACGATTTTCCCGCCGTATGCATTTTATGGACGGGGACCACAAGTTGGGCCGATAGTTTTTTTAACTAATAATTCTAATTCTGAGCATAACGCTTTAAAAACATGCTGGCCAGAAGGTAATTAATTAAGCAGCTTAATTAGTAAAGAAAATTTTGTATCATATACATGAGTGTTATTATTTTTATAAGCAAACTTTAAATGCCTTTCATTTTGTTATTCTGATTATTCGGATCCAATTGTTTAATAAAAATTTTTTAACTTACTTAAGAATTCGTTTACTATGTACGTTCCACTTTTTACAAGCATTTGGTGATAAATTCATAATTACAAACACTAAATTGAGAAAGAAGATTAGACACATATTATGGGAAGTATGAAAAAAATCTTGTATTCATTATCAAATTCAGAAATAGATATGCATTATGAAAATTTTAAGTAGAAATATTATTATAAATACCCACAATTAAAAAGACATGTTAAACATTTATGGGAATATTGACAGTTTTGGGCTTTATCTTTTCGCCTTGGGTTGCCTTTACATGGTAACAACACAAACAATTATGTTGAACGAGGCTTTGGCATCATAAAGGATATTGTTTTTACAAGGACACAAGCTTATAATCCAGTACAAATGTTCCAGTTTATAATAACAAGTATGGAATGATTTTATGAGAGGAGGTTGATCGAAATCACAAACATGCATCCAAGAATTTTATGTATAGCAAAACGTTTTTTCTGCCCCAGATAGAAAACAATTAATCCTAATACAATTCAAAGAATGAACATGGAGAATAAATATTTGGTACCAAGCACAAAAGAAAATAATAATACAAATTATATTGTGAATAGCGAGATTGGTGTTTGTTCTTGTTCTATTGGAATGTCTGGCACCCCCTGCAAGCATCAGGGGGCTGTTGTGGCAAAATTTCATGTTTTAATATTCAATTTTATTCTGTAGCTAACACCGAATGATTGTGCAGTTTATGCATATATAGCCCTTGGTAAATATGATTATATAATCCCCCAATATGTGGCATCATACAATATCAGTTATACGACTTGTCACACTATTTTACATATAAATTTTTTATATATGAAATTATCCCTTAAACGGTAAGTAATCGCAGGCAAATTTGCCTGCAATTTTTCCTTATGCTATATTATATACAAAATTTTTTAAAATTTAAGTATCGTGTAACAAACTTGTAATGTAAATAGCCGATCAACTTTAAAATAAATTCGAACTTTTATTCTTATCTTTTATATGAAATTACATTCTACATACATACTTACAAATTAGCTATTTTTAATAATCGTACTGATTTTGCAAAATTTTCTGCTTTATTTTCAATTTTCTTACTACGCTTCAATTCTAACTATAAGAAAGCTTAGCAAGAAATATAAAATTTAACATAAAAAATAACTAATTATTTTATTTTTGCATTTTTTATTCATAAAATTTTGACTTCACATAAGAACTATTTTTTCGATTTTATGTATGTATTTTACTAATTTAATACTTATTTATTTAATAAATATAAAAAAAAATATTAATTATTTTCTTCTTTCCGGGTATGATAATCTTTAAAACAATCGCTTCTACCCTTGCTACAACATAAGGGAACATTACATTTAATACAATAAATCTGCGATTGTGGTGGATTCTTAGGTGCCTTCATATTATTATTAATATTTAGGAGGTTTTTTTTTTCATTGTTTTCATTTTCATTCTTTTCATTACACATTTTTTTCACCAAGTACCTGCACCACATGCAACTATTTCTTTGTTCTCACCATTCAGGTAAATGACCATCTGGAGATAACCTCAATAAGGAAAGTTCAAAATTATTTGTTACATACCGTTTTATTGAATGATCATCATTTTTATCATTAAATCGTACTAATTTTTCAACTCGGCTTCATGTATTTGGTTTTTTCGTCTGACTGCTTTCTTCCATACTCGCATTAATCAAATCCCATACTAGCTGAATTCGAAAATCTTTATGGTTAATATTCTTACTGCTTTTTTTAAAAATTAAATAGGAATTGACAATTGAAGTATCCAATAACCAGTAAAACAATGGCACCCAAGTTCTTCTTACTGGTAATTGAATGCCGTAATACCCACGAAGCTGATCGGCTATGTCTACTTCACCCATGTTATGGTTATAGTCATCAATCACATGAGAAATTGGTAAGGCTTTTTTACTTGCAGCACCAAAAACTGCTCGCACTTTTTTTGCATTGGTGCTAGTTTCTCGAGGTTGACATCTAATTCTTTCAACTCTATTTTCATTCCCAGTAATTTCGTGAATAGTTGTTAACATGGTTACTGGACCGTTGTCCATCCATAAAAGAGCTAAAACATTATCAACTACTACCCCAGATAATGTATCCCACTCTAGTTTTTTATCTGTTTTAAGAACTTTTGGAAATTTTGCACGATTTGTTCTAACCGTTCCACAAGCTCCAAAATTTTTATTGCGCAGGTATTGAAAAAGACTAATAGATGAAAAAAAGTTGTCCATATAGATATTAAAAGATTTATTTAAGGGTAATTGGGAAACAAGATGATAAACTTCATTCCGACTTTATTTAAATTAGAAATTTGTTTTACTTCGGGATGATTTTGGATTCGTGAAGTAAAAATGGAAGCATACGTGTAACCTGCATCACAAAGAGATAGAATCTTATATCCCTCCAGTGTGGGCTTGTTTTTGATTCTTACTGTATGCATGCTACGACCTGAAAACCGTACAATCATTTCATCGATCGATAAATTAGATGATAGAATACAAATTAATTTGGAAATTGTTTAAATATGGCTTGCTAGCGGGTCTAGTTTAGAATACCAATACAAAGGCAGGACATTACAGTCAGAAATATGTATAAACCGTTTAATCTAAATTAAAAAAAAAATTAAATAAAAAAATTAATAAAAAAATAAATAAAATTAAAAATTTAATAATTTTTAAATAATTCGAATGTAAAAAAAAAAATTTATTAAAAAAACGTACTTGCTCAAAACGAAGTAATGACATAAAAGTTGTTATTTTGTGCTCGGGAAATCTATCATCTCTATTCCAGTAATCTCTAATACTAGGTAATTTAAAAATACCAGTATATATTAAAATCGCTAACCAAATTTTAAGTTCTCCTACAGTTAATTTTTTCTATCTACGACCTTCCCCTGCACCTTTTATATAGGCATATTCATTAGTATTCTGGACTATTGTGCTTATTTGTTCAGATGAAAAAAAGAGGCTAAAAATTAAATATGGCGATGATAATGCAAATTCATATTTAGTAGGTAAGTTTAAAGTAAATTCATGTGTTGGGCGCAAATGTTGAAATATATTAAAAGAAGGGGGTGAAGGAAGTTGTACATTTTCGACTTCATAATTTTGACTATTACCACTGCCACGACCACGACTACGAGCACGACCACGACCACAACTACTATCATGGCTTTCAATTCTTTCATCTTCGAGTTGATTGTCTTGAGCATCATAATTTTCGTCTTCGTCAGATTCATTTTGCTCATAATTTTCATGAGTATTACGCGATAATTCAACAATATATTCGTAATCATCATTCTGTTCGTCAGAAATTGAGGTTTCCATTAAAAAATGCAATAAAAAAATTTTAAGAAAAAAAAAAAAAAGTTTTGAATAAAAAACGTCTTACATGGGAAAATTTTAAAGAAATTCTTAGACGGCGCTTTTTGAAACAATGGGTAAGTAATTAATTAATTAAATATGTTAACAGAATGCAAATCAATATTTAACTAATGCAAAAAATTGATTGGACGATTTTTGTAAAAAAATATAAATCGATCTACATCCAAATTTAGAAATCGCAGGCAAATTTGCCTGCAAAACCGTTTAAGGGATAATAAAAAACATATCCCTTAAACTGTAGAGTTCGTGTAACAATTTTAACTTAAAAATAGTATAAATTTAGTTATGATTTATTTTTTTTAATATTTAAAATATTTAAATA